TTACTCCAGGGATTTCTGCTCAGCAGCACTGAGGAAGAAGGAGCAACTGAAAACAGAACTCCAACATTTTAGAACTGACAGAGACAGAGAATGTGCAGCCCCGCCGTATCGGGTTGCAAAGGAGGACACTGGGACTTGAGAGAATGAGGGCCTTACTCTGGGTGTGGTACGGCAGGCAGAGGTCTGGGGTCAAAACTAGAGGAAGAAAGATTACAAGAGAGAGGGGGGGGGGGAGAGAGAGAGAGAGAGAGAGAGAGAGGCAGAGGGCACTTCTGTTTAGGTCTGTGTCAGCGCCCACAGGCATGGGAGTGAGCCAATGCCATAGATAAGGAGGGTAGGGGGTGGTGTGGCATTGTGGCTGTTGGATCCAGTCCCCAGTCTGCCATGCTTTGGTTGGTGACACTTATCTGTTCCTTAGTTTACTCTCCTGTAAGATAAGAGCACTGGTAACATATCTCATATGGCTTCAGGAAGAATACATGGAGTTGATAGAACAGTACCCAGTACATCATAACAAATAAGTGTTTGCTATAGTTACGATTCGTAATCTCCAAATTGCACCAGGCTCAGAGTCCTTGGGTCTTGCACAATGTAGCGTACACATCTTGAAGAAGCACAAGGATTCAGGGGGGTATTGCGTATTAAATCAGATGTTTGGTTCTTATTACCAGCACCAAGGGATCTCCTATCACAAATAGTGGGATTAGCCCACAAGTAAGTCAGCATGACACGAAATATATGATCTGAGAAATACTTTTCTGATCCACTTTCATGAACAGCCTGTGTCTTTGCAGCCTGCATTTTCATCTTCAGTTCATGTGCCTGCTTTGTTTTATGTGTTTAAAAAAATGTGGCGAGCTTCACACACTAGTCTTTTGTACCAGCTGTATATGAAGCAACTACCACCAAAGACATACATGCATGGAATTACACCAACTCGACTCGAAAGTAAAACCTCTTTAATTGAACAATACTTTAATCCTCTCAACAAGGTTAGGGTAGCTGACCACATTTTGAAATTATTTTGTCTCGTCTGCACTTGAGTGGCATGGAAAATTTCCCTCCACTTTCTTACCCTCTCCCGAGGGTCATTTTCTTCCCTCTTTTCTCCTCCCTGCCTGGCCTCTGACCCTGCCCAGCTCTGCCGTTTCCATGGACTTCTGAATCTAATTAATGTCTTTGTGGCTATAGAAGCGAATTATATAGGCAGGAGGATCTTATAAACTTGGAGGAGGGTGTGCTCCTTGAGAAAACCTGGTTTTGTACAAACAAATGAAAAGAAATGCACGTAGAGGGGGTAGAACGTCAGTCAAGTGTAAAATGCTAGTAACATGCTTTGCTCTTCAAGTATCTGCTGCCTGATGACATCTGAGGAATAGTCAGCCACGATGGAAGCTGGCTGAGGGGCAAATAGTCCAAATAAGCCACCACTGTGGATCGGCCTCAGCCATGTGACAGGAGTACTGCCCCCTCCCCCCACCTTCTCCCTCCCTTTTCAGGGCAGTTAACAGCCAGGGGTGGGGAATGGGTGCTTAGATGATCTCTGAAATGACCCTGGCTTCCAACTGCCGCCACAGAATATTCTCAAACTCTCCAGAATGTGGGCAGGCAAGGGGGAGGGGCCCGGAGTGCTGAAGTTCTCCACCAGAGGATACTGTCAGAGAACCCAAGGCAGAGATGGTCCCTATGCCCCATGTTTCCATGGAAACATAGGAGGAGTGATGACAGCCTGCACAGCCACACCATCTGCTTGGGACCTGGCGAATGATGAAAAAAAATGGAAACAGAAAAGCACCTCGATCCCGGCTAGAACCACTGAGACAGCAGCGGAGAGACAAAGGCCCGAAGAGGCTAGGATGCCCAGGTGGAGTAAACCCCAGCAATCCTGGGCTCCACAGATTAGCATGTAATTTGCAAGCAGAACGCCTCCAGGGCTTGTTCCGCCATCCTTAGCTCCGGTGCGGAACACCCAGGCAGCCCTGGAGGAGAAAGGCTGGGCAGCCTGGCCGGCCCGGGGAAGGTGCAGCGAGGAGCCTTGGAGGGGGAGCACGAGGGGGAGCACAGGCTCGCCACCTTCCAGCAAGACCACCTGCACAGCTGGCCGCCAGCCAAGCATCTTTTTCTAGGGTAATAGAGATTATAAAAGGAAAACCCCCACCGCGTCACAAAGGCGACCTCCGAGCTGTAGCCCCGTCTTCAGAGTCAGGGCTGAGCTAATGAAGCCATGCATTCGTAGCCAACGCCAGTCTGAATTGGCTGCCACAGATTTGCTTCTGGGTCCACTGAGGAGGGTTCCACTCCAGGCTCGGGGGTGTGAGTGGAGCCCCAGACTGAGAAGGATTCATTCCTGAGTCCCTTTCTTTATAGATTTCGCCGAAACAGCCCTGACCTGGAAAGCCCACAGCTCCCTCCCTCTGCTGCTCCCGCCAAGGCCTCAGGAGCTGCGGGTGCCACTCAGGGTCTGTGGAAATGCGGATCTGTCTCAGGAGAAAGGTCCCTCAAGCCTCAAGGTCATTAGTGTGCACAGATGCTACATCGACTTCCTAGGAAACATCAGTTTTTATTTTTAATTCAGGTAGTCTCTTACTCCTTGACAAAAATGTTTCCCTTTTAGTTCTGGCATTCTCATTCCAGGAAGGCCAAGCTCCTTTTTGCTTTGTATTAAGGATTTAAAATTTGACAACTAAATTAAATGCCTGTTTTGGTATAGGTAGAAGGGCTGAAGAATAATGGGGCTATCTTAATATCCAGGTAAATAACAACAACAACCAAGATCTCCCCACTAAGGTTCTTATTGTTCTACGTTGTACTTATAAATGTTATTCATTTAGACTTACTAGTATTTCCATGACGCCTTAGTAAAAATGGTACCTATAACTATTATTAGGTTTCTTCAAAAGGTGCTGGTCTCCACCTGGACATTCTATGCCCTGGAAATGAAAAGCATTCATGCTGGCTAGAGGCCCCAAGCAGCAAATGGGAACTGTTTCTGATGAAAAAAAACTTAAATACCAGTGAAACTGCTTGAGGTTTACATACACTCGTGTATTAACAGGAAGCACCCTGCTTAACTTCACACAGAAATCTTCCCTGGGATCTGGCTGCAGGGGAGAGGCCTGTGGTAAATGGACCCCGGCTCCGCGCACCCAGCGCTTTCTCTTTCCCTTTCTGGGGTCATCTGTTCGCCTCCAGCCTCCACGGTGAAGGCAGATCTGTATCTCCAGCTTCAAGCTCTGGTTGGGACTCCCAACAAACACGTTCTGTTTGTCCTTCGGCAGCCCTCCTTTGTATAAACAGATGTGCTGGGAAGGCAGGGAGGGCCAGATCTCTGCGAGGGTGGGAGGTCTGCTTTCTGGAAGCTTCCCCGCTGCAGCCCCCAGCACGGGGACAGGATGCATTCCTCGTCCAGACTGTGGAACTTGCAGTTCTTCCAAAGGGGCTGTTCCCTTCTCCTTTCCACCCTCCACCCGCACCTTTTGTTCCCGGGAATGCTGTCTGCGTGGCTCAGGCGCCTCACTTTTGCCAGAGCAAACATTTCCAGCAAAGGCGGCTGCTAAGGAGATGTTAGGAAGACAGATTTGCCCCTCTCCAGATCCGCGGACAGGGATGTGGGAAGACAGCTTCTCACCTGTGCTGCTCAGTCTCTTTGTTCTCCCTTAGCCTGGTGCTACCTTTGCCTAATGAGGGAGGCTCTGAGGGACCCGCGCTGTCAGCTTGTAAAATAACAACTCCGTTTTCTCAAACTGTGTGGACACTGACTCTGCCTTAATTTATTGCTTTACATTTTGCACATTAGTTACGGATGCTAATAAAGGAAGGATTACTTTGAGGGGGCGGTAATGGGGGAGGAAAGGGCGAGCATTTTGTAATCCAACTCCAAATAGGAAGGAATTCTCCTTGGTCTTTTCTCCCTGGCATGTTCCCCAGCCTTGGTTTGCTAATCCTCGCTCACGGGTCAGGGAGGTGAGAGGGTGACTCTCAGGCTTGACCCGGGAGCCATCCTGTGCCTTCTACCCGAGGGTCTAGATTTCCGGGGTCCCCAGGCAGCGGTTCTTCTCGCTGAGAGAGAACAAAGGGGAAGAGGACCAGAAGGGCCCCCCGGCAGGAGCGGGGTTTGGTGCCAGAGGTGGGCCCTCGCTGCACTGCCCGGTGCCTCTCTCTCCAGGAAACCTCTGGAATCCCGAGCGAGGCTCCAGAGCTGCGTCCAAGGACAGGAGGGTGGGGCTCAGGAGGGTTCCGGTTTGGGAGAAACAGATTTGGACCTGGGCTCCTCAGCATGTCTATGAGTCAGGAGGGTAAAATGTTCTTTAACATGGGGGGGGGTGGTGGTAATAAGGACTTGATTTTTAGGAGCCACAATGACACTCTATCATCTTCCAGCTGACAATGCGCCTCTCTCCAGCCTGGAATGGGGCAGGAAGTTTGCAGTCTGCTCGCAGAGGCCAGCCCCCTCCCCGTGAGAAATGAAAAGAGGGGGCTTGGTGTCCAGGGACTGGCCAGCGGGAGGACGGTGAGACCTCCGCTGCAGGCCGCGCTGCAGGGCCGGGCAGGAGACCTGGCCTCCCGGGTCCCCTTATTTCCTTTAACTCACTGGCTCCAGATATTTTAAACGGTTTGTTTACGGCGCTGCTGGAGGCGGCACGGTTAACTCTCCGGGGCCTGGGGCGTCGGAAATTTCCCTGCCGCGACTCCGGGTCTGCAGTCCCCGCCGCCAGGCGCCGCGGGTCACGGCGATCCCGGGCCCGGAGAGCGGGCGGGCGGCCTCTCCGCATCCCCCGCCGCCGGCCCAGGCGCCCGGGGCGGCGCGGAGGGGGGCACCGGGGCGGGGGCGGCGGGGCGGCGGGCGCCGCGGGACCCCAGGGCGGCGGGGAGCCGGGGCGCGCGGCGGGCGCGGCTCGGGCCCGGGGCGCGCGCCTCGGCCTCGCGCACACGCGCCTCCCGGAGGAGAAAGGCGGCGGCGGCGGGGGCAGCGGGGCGGGAGGAGGAGGAGGCGGGGCGCGGCGGCGCCGAGCTCGCCGCTCTCCGGAGTGAGCCGGCCGCGAGCCGGGAGCGGGTGAGTGTGGCCGCTCCGCCGGCCCCGGGGCGCGGTGGGCGCGGGGGGCGCGGGGAGCCGGGGGCGCGGGGGACGCGGGGGGCGCGGGGAGCCGGGGCTCGGGGCCCGGCGCCGCCGGGGTGCACCTTGAGCGCCGCTTCTCGTTGCAGCGCGCGGGCGGCCGGAGCCTCGGCGGCGGCGGCGCTGACACGGACCCCGACACCTCCCACCATGGACAGCTTCGACCTGGCCCTGCTGCAGGAGTGGGACCTCGAGTCGCTGTGGTGAGTCCCGCGCCGGCGGCCGGGGCGGCGGGGGCTGCGGGGCCGCGGCCCGACCTCACCTGGGCCGGGGCCGCCGTGGGGGGGCGGGTGGTCGGGCGCTCTCCCCCTCCCCCTCCTCCCGGGCGGCCGCCTGCCCGGCTCCTGCCCCCTCCCCAGCCTCCCCTCCGGTGCCGCCCGCCCAGCCCCGGGCCGGGGATGCGGGAGCCGGGGCAGAGCGCAGCCATGGAGAGAAAAGACAGACCCGATCGCTAGAACGTGTCACCGGTGCCAGGTCCGCCCGCCGGCCCCGAGCCCCGCTCTCCCTTCCCGCCCGGTCCCCGCGCTCTCCCGGTGCACAGCGCGGCCCGGAGCCGGCCGCGGGGAGCGCCGCAGAGGATGCTCCCGCCACCGCCCGGCGCCCCCCGCCCGCTCCCGCCGGGAGGCAGCGCCGGGCAGGGAGCCCCTCCGCGCGGGCACCGGAGGCCGCGGCCCGGGCACTCCTTTCCTCGAGGTCCCCGTCCCCGGGCCGCTCCCCGCGCCCCCGCCCCCCGCGGGCAGCCCTGCGCCGGGCGCCGGCCGCCTGGGAGCCCCGCTCCGCTCGGCGCTCACGTTGAGGAGCTGCTGTGGGTAAATCGCCGCTAGAAGCAGTTTGATTCCGGTTGCCGGTGTTTTAAAAACCTCATTGGCTGTTTCGACATCCTTCTTGCCGCTCACCCCCCCTCTTTCGTTGCCCGCCCTCCCTCCTTAAATGTTTCCAACCAGCCGTGCTCAGGTGGTAAGATTGCTGCCTGCATATTATTCCTGGAGGAACGTGTGTTCTGTTTAATATTTACGGGAATGCACATCTGCTGAAACAAGCATATTAACTGCACTCCGTTCTGCCCTGGGTAGTGGCTTATTGTAGAGCTGAGCTTTTTTTTTTTTTTTTTTTTTTTTTTTTTTTTTTTTTGCGGGGGGGGGGGGTTAATTTCGAAAAGGGTCCACATGTGTCTACAACTCCAAGTGGTGTGCACATGAATATGCAATGTGCATTTTTAAAGCTCCGCCGCTTTCTGATTTGTAGATCGTCCAGATGATCTGTGGATGGATGTGTATTTTCAGTGATGCAGGTTTCTAGTGACTTTTATCTTTCTAAAGCCAGGTGTCACACACACTTGACACAAAGGTAGCGCGTGGTGGAACGGTTTCTTATAAAATACATGCGGATGGGCCCTGAAGTAAACTTTATATATTACGCTGTGGGATATGGGGGACTTCAAAGAGCCAGTGTAAAATGAATATGAAACATGTTATTACTCTATAAAAGTTGCTAATTACTGCGTTGTTGCTCCAGGGTTATTGCAGCCTTTCATTTACAGACACCTATTATTTTACAGGTTTACATTAAGGAATGTTGGTTTCTGGCACAAATTCAATACGTTTCTAGAAAGAAACTATGCTTTAAACGTGACTTTTGCTTTTAAAAGGCAATTTTTCAGTTGTAGAGGGGGACATTGTTTTGGCATATTTTTAATGCTACTTGTCTGCTTGCTTATTCAAATCGAAGCCCCCTCGAGATTTTTACAAAAGTAATATTTTGAAGTGTCAGCCATAATCTGTGGGCTTTTTCTGCACAGGGCCTCAGCCTGAGTTCCCAGGTGAGTTACCTGAAACGTGGTCACACAGTAAATATCTGCTGAGTTGACTTGAAATTTACATCAGCTACAGTATACTTACTATTTTTAAAAGTGAAACAAATAATCATTTTTAAAAGTTGATATACATTCAGTCAGATTTAACCAATGCATTAATTTATCTTTGGCTTATGCACATTATGAAAGTGCTTGACTGAAGGGAGTCTTTCTAGTTTGCAGATGTAGACATTACATTTTACACAAGCTTACATGTTTCTGATAAAAATAAATCCTTGAGTATGCATTTTAACAGAGACATTTCTGAGTCATGGATACATTTTTGGACGATATTTTCTAACTACATTTTATGGTTTACTTTTAAGCTTATAAGTTTTTAAGTTTATGACTTACTTTTAAGGTTACATATAGACTAGAAGCCTGGTGCAAGAGATTCATGCACTTGTGGGGGGGGGGGAGGGGGTCCCTCAGCCCAGCCTGCACCCTCTTGCAGCCTGGGAGCCCTCCGGCGATGTCTAACTGAAGGCTTAGGGCAGGTGTCTTCAAACTGCGGCCCGCGGGCCACATGCGGCCCGCAGAGGAGTCTGATCCAGCCTGCCAGGTTTTTTGGGCAGTGAGCGCAGCCGAGGTATTACAGTAGGAATTAGTAGTTCATATAGTCCGGCCCTCCAGCTCTCTGAGGGACCGTGATCTGGCCCCCACTTTAAAAAGTAGGGGCCCGGCCTACGCAGGCAGGCAGACTTCCTTAGGCCCCCCCCTCTGCACAACCCTGGCTTCTGGGTGAGCAGTGGGAGTGCATTGACCTTGGGGAGTGGGGGGAAGGGGGCAGCTCCTGCGCTGAGCGGCTGCCCCCTGGTGGTCAGTGTGCCTCATAATGCCCGGTTGTTCCGAATTCAGTCTATTTGCATATTACCTTTTATTATATAGTATATTCAAAATAACTAACATTTGTGTATTTTCTGCATGTCAGACATTTTCATATGCATTGTTTTCTTATTTGAATGTTAACAATCCTAGAGGTGACAAGCTTAGTAGTCCCATTTTATAGACATACACATGGAGGTTTGAACTGTGAAGTGACTTCCTGAGACTATAAAACAAACGTACATTGAGTGAACACTCACCACTTACCAGATACTGTTCTAAGTAATTACATGTTTTAACTCTGTTCTAAATACTTTACATGTTTTTTGTGTCATTTAATCCTCATAACAAACAACTTTAGGAAGCAAATACTATTATTATTCCCATTTTATAGTTTGGGAAAACAAGGGTGGGGAAGATCAGGTAATCTGTCCAACATTGCATATCTAGAACTAGAGGTCCTATAGTCAGATGAGACATTAATTTCAAAGCTCAGTTTTCTGATTTAAAATCCAGTGCGTTTTCTATAATACTGCTGATGTCTCCCAGTTTATGAGGCTCTAAAATTAATTACAAAACAAAATTTTGATGGACTTGAAATTAAGGTTTTGTTAAAATATGAAAGAAAGAGAAGGTCAGAGCTCTAAATGATATTGATCTAAAACTAAAAATTTGAAAATGAGATACCAAGATTTAGGAAATTATGCCTATCTTATTTGAGTTACATTATGTATATTTGAAATATATATAAATTTAATATGAATTATATAATTGAAATATATAAATTTAAAATAAAAATCACTAAAAACTTCTTCCTTTAATTCATTTTAGAAAAAACATTTTTCTTCGGAGAGGTATAGGTTAATGGAAAAGAGAATTGAATTTTGATCCCTAATAATTTTTTTTTCTAATTGGTTGGCATCGTTTTCCAATAAAACAAATTGCAGTTTGTTTGTTATGTCTGTAGTTTTGAACCTTCAATAGTTTAGTCTAGTGGTCACAGAAAGTGTCCCCAGATGTCTGTATAGACATGATGAAGAGAACAGCTCTGTGCTGTAGAATATAATCAACATGGACAATTAGTTGATAATTCATGACCCAACTCTCTGCCTCCTTACCCCCCCCCACCCCCCCCAAGATACACACACAAACTCAGGAACAACTACCCTTATTTTTCAAGGGAGGTCATTTCAGTGTTTCATTTCAGCCATACCTTAATGTTGAGAAGAAATATCCATTTCTGATTCTGTTTCCCATTTCTGATTTGAAGCAAGAGTGGACACCGTGGAACAAGGTGAAGACACTTGTTCTCACCAGCACCACCTTTGTGGAGTGCACCCCCTGAGGAGTCTGGGATTTAGTCACTGGGGTGCTCGCAGGAGCAGATACCCCCAGGAGCAGGGTCCCAGCCTCCCACACCCCCTCCCCCCCTCCCTGCTCTTCACCAGCTTCTCATCAGCTGGGCATGTAAGCCATTCCTCAGGGCCTTTAAATAACGTCTGTCCTTTATAACAGGCTAACTGTTGCTTTTACTCATTTAACAAATATTTATTGATCATCCCTTTAAGTACAGGACCTTGTGCTGATTGCTGTAGGGGATACAAAGATGAATAAAACGTGGGTTAATACGTAATTGTCTAGCAGGGGAATGAGAAAGGTGAAAAAGGAAGTTTTGAACAATTTTTATTCTGAGGACAGAAAGACCACACTTGGGACTGGGGTGGGAGGTGCAGGAGGGAGAGAGAAAAAATTGAGTTTAAAAAAAAAAAAGCTTCCATGGAAAAGGTGGCCTTTGAACTAAGCCTTGGAAGATGAATGGAGTTTTTACAGTGGGAGGGGGTGGGGGTATTGACAGGACATAGAGGCATCTTGGGCAAAGAAAGCGTGAACAAAGGCTTCCTGATGTATCTGAAAGATCCCTATACACCGAGTGTTTCAAAGATGCAGAACTTTGCCGTCACGAGTTACTTCCAGGGAGTGAGAACAGTTTTCCAAAGTGAGCTTGGCCAAAATTGGATCTTAATCATCCTTAAGTATAAATACAGTGTAGTTTTGGGGAGAGAGTCTATCGAAGTATAATAGTAAATATTCCGATTCCTCTACACCACACTCCTGTCCCCAACAGCTTCACATGGGCCAGAAGCTATTTACTTTTGTCCAGATAAGCAGTATACTTTATATTCTTTCAAATTTGAATCTCTGAAGTTGTAATTAATGGATATTTTATGCTCATAAATTTGTTCAAGATAATAAGCATTCATGGAGTGTTAGGCCTAGGATAGGTACTATAGAGCAGTGGCTTACAGATGTTTCAGACCATCACACACCGTAACAAATACCTTTAACATCGCAACCCACTATATTTGTGAACATACAAATAACTGAAATAAAGTGTCATGAAGCTACACTTACTGGTACATGTATGATACACTGACAATTTCTATTCTATTCCTTTTCTTTTTAAAAAATTTCCATTCATGGGTTTCAAACAAAATAACAACAACGACGACAAAAACCCCACAAACC